TAAAATGCGAGTGTGTTTATATACGCAGTTTATTTGAATATTTGCCATCGTAAATAGCCTGTAAACGACCATAATAGCTACTTGCTCGCTCTCTCACTGGCGCGTGCCCGAGTAATTACTTAATTCGTTCGCGGCGTTCTATTATAAGGATATTATCAGTACGTTTGTGATAATTTGTTGCAATATACACGTGAATTTTTTTTGTTATTCAAAAAAATCTACGTATTAAATTACATACAGGCTCGTATGCGGCTATATCCTTTTGAGCCGGGCATATTAGCGAAGGAGTTCTCTCTCGTCGAGTCGAGTCGTCGACTCTTTTGCGCTCTGCATTTCATGAGGTGAAATCCTCTCTCGCTGCTGCGCACAGTCTATACGGCTCGCAGTGTACACAGCCGAGCATTAGGAGCGTAGTGCGATGACACCGGTGTGTACTCGCGATGTTTTCTCTTTTATATATAGTATAAACAAGGTACATCTCTTTCTCTCTCTCTCTTGCTGTTTTTCTCGGGACATCTCGACGAATACCAAGTGAAATCACTGACTGTATGCGCGCTGTCGATAAATAACCTTTTTTACTTTTTTGTTACCCGATTGATATCATTGTTTCGCGTGGATATATCGCGCTATAATCACCTCGGTAGTTTATTTATAAGACAAGAGGGGAGAAACCAAAATCGGAATTACGTGTTCGCAAAATCGAGATATTATAGAGGGTATATAATACGAGCTGCACGTGCACACGTGTGCGTGTTACACCGTTGGGGGCAAAAAAGTAATATTAATAATATAATCGACCAACGAAGACGATAAGAAAAGTTAAAAGGAGAGCAAGATGAAAGTATTTAAAATACCCGCCAGGCATTTTGAATTATGCGCGCGTGACGCTGTGTGTGCAGCACACATAGTTTTTTATGTTTTTTTTCTCCTTCGTTTACGTGTACGTACGTACGTACGTATATATAGCAGGGGTAGACGCGTGATTATCGCCGTATACGAGTGTATGACTATTCATGAGTTATATAGACCGCCAGACTGGCTGAGCTTTATACAAATATAAAATTATATACACACACGCGGCAAATACACACGTTTTGACCTACTACGTCCCAGACGACGCGAGGGTGGAGGAAGGAAAAAAAAATTTTTTTTACCCTACCCTCTCGTTTTTCATCTCTTTCCCTTTATTTTTTCAAAAAAAAAAAAAGGAAAAAGTGGGATAAGAATTTGCATAGAGCGGCGTGGCTCGCTTGCACACGTGCACTGCACTGCACCGCCACTGCACCGCTAGTAGTAGTATTGCACTGCTACCACACAGCCGGGTCAATATGTGCGCGTACATTTTCCGACTCGCGGGAGGGCGTGTACACGCGTGGCAGAGAAGTTCGGAGTTTATCAAAGTTATGTCGTACACGCGAAAAGTTTAATCGCACGAGAAAAAAATTACGCCGAAAAAAGGAGGAAAAAAACAACAACGAGATTGTCGAGAGGGGGAAATGAAAACCTATACATAGCCAATCGGACCCATATACCTTGGTAGAAATACTAAATATTAATAATGTATAATGCATAATTAATAATCATTTTCCATCCACTTTAATTACCATCATACTATTTTACGTCTCCGCCACTAGATGGCGAGTACCGTCATTTGTGAAATCTGCAAGTGGTAAATTCAAAATAATTGTATAAGTCACAGCACGGCTCTACTACCTGAGTCTGACCACTTCGTCAAAGTGTGAAATAAAATATTCTATGGCCAAAAATCTTCCCATAACATTAATAAAATATCGAGCATTTCTACCAGGGATACTACTCGATTAATTTCGCTCTTATTTTCAAATTATTTATTTATTTATTCGCGTCGATCGTTTCGCCGCGATAAATCATCGCCCTATTGATAATACCCCTGTTAATCGCATGAAATGAACGATATAATCATCGCGCATTAGCCGACTGTGTATTGCGCTAATAAATAACATAATTAATTGAGTCGTTTCAATCGCGGCAACGGTGGCGTCGTCGTCCGTCTCTATATCGGTGCTCGGCGCGGAATGGATGTACTCCGCTCTCGCGCGGCAGCATGCCTAGTTGAACACACAATGAGGTATTTAATAGTGCATCAGATATGCATAATAAACAATATAATATAATTTTTTAGATATCCCATTGTTTGCGCGACTGTTCCGCGCGCGCGTATTATTATTCGTAATGTATGTATGTATGTATGTGCGCGTCGCAATCAAAGCTCATCATCATCGGCGTCATCCGAGCGTCTCTCTCTCCCTCTCATTCCGCTGCTGCTCGGTAATATGTAACTCGTGATTTGGAAAGTGTATGTGTATGTGCGCAGCGTATAGCACTTCCTGTTATAATATCGGCTCGACACGCGAATTCGTGACTCTGTAATTGTTGATTTTTGTGCGAATTTATCTTGTGCCTTCCGCACACACACACACACACACACACACATACTCTCGCGTGTTTCACCTATATATATATATCTGTAGAGCTCCTTCTCTCCTTCTTTTTTATCCACGATTCGTTGGGATTTATGGAGGCAGATTTGTGTCGGCTAATTGGACTCTCCGCGATGCATCTTGCGCGAGTTATATATTTTCGTTTTCGCGCGTTGCATACACTGTGTGAGCCTGCCTGCCTGCCTACACGTGCGCGCGATGGCCAAATAGTTTCGGAATTTTTCTCTCTCTCGCGGTTTTTTCACTCGCGATCGTAAACGGAATCGTCGGACATAATGAGAAATAATAAAAGCAAAGGCCCGTAAGCCACAGCAGCAGCAGCGAGCGGTGTGGCTAAACGATGTAAAAATAAAAAATAAAGAATAATTGCCTCTTTCGACAATATCATCATATTTAAAACTATTTGAATGCTCGCGCGCGCAGTACGTTTCACAATGAATTTTCCATAACTTCTATTTTTTTCTATCTGTCTCTCTCTCTCTCTATTGCCTACGCCGATGCGGAGAGGATCTGGCCTGTACGTGTAATGCAATATCGTATCTGTACGAACGAAAAGAAAACTACAACGAGGTTGGGTTTTATGCTAATGTTAATTTCGTAAAGCGTAATAAAAATTTTATTATTATTAACATCCAGCCGAGCTGATTTAAATTACAAATTTGGGTCTCTCTCTCTGCGGGTAGTCGCGATTTTTTTGTTGTCGTCGTCGTCGTCAAGCATTTCTCAGCGAGTGTAACCGCGTTTATAACAATGTATCTATAAAGGTATTATACATACCACGTGTAAGTAGACTCTGTCTCACACACAAACACAACACAGACATGAGTCAAGCAGCAGCTTACATACCGATGTAGGAGATCTGATAGAATCGAAAAAGTAAGTAATCGGCCACCTTGTTAGGCAATTCAATGCTGAATTAGAACAGTAGCCTCGCGGCGCCTATGTACAGAGAGGCTCGAAGATTCACGTGGTGTGTATACGTATGTATACATATGGAAGTGCCACAATAGTGTGTCTGTGTTTTTGTGTATATATGTGTTGTATACACGTCTGGTACATTTCGCGAACTTGAGTGCTTCTTATTTCCAGCGCGAGTGTGTGTCTGTGTAAACGTCCCCGATTGAGTAATACTTATATTGCCACGGTCGTAAAGGCATTGTGGAATAACGTTTCGCAAGTTTTCGTCTCGAGCTGCTGCTGCTATTTCGCTCTGAATCATATATGTATATACGTGCATTATTATCGTATATATAATATATGTTTCTCTATCTCATCGTTTTGATGTCTCCGCGCGATGCGCTCGTGAAATGTTCATATCGCTCCTACGTTAGAAACGATTGTTCTATTTTTTGATTATTATTTTATTTATTAATTTTTGTCAACCAACAACAACTCGTTGTTGTTCTGTTCTGTCCTAGTTCTGAGTAATTAATGTAATAAGATTATACCAGGAGTCGCCTTGGAAAATGGTTTACGCCGGGGCGCGCATAATCGTTGGAAATATTAAATAATATGAATTTTGCAGTCGAACGCGTCTGTCGCGCACTTGGCTTTCACCGCATTAAGAGAGAGAGAGAGACAATGAATAAATCGCGTTTCGAGAATCTTGGAAATCGCGCGCGAGATTGTTTTTACCTCGTTTTCGCCGATATCTCATGTAAAATTCGTACACAACCGTACTCGGCGGATAAACTCTCTTCTCGCTCGTTGGCTGATTAGTGATTAATTAATCATTTGTAAAAGGAAGAAGAGAAAAACTTCAATCGGAGATACTTATAAATAGGTGACACACTGATTAAATTAAATTGTATACGCTGGACGCGTCGGTCGATAGTCGTGTCGCGATTTACAAAACAAAAAAAAGGAAGAAATAATCAATTTGACGAATTAGAATACAATGGGTCTGGCAGCTCGGCCGTAATTATCAGCGCTCGTGTGTACCACTGTTAACAGCGACGTGTAAGTCTGACAGAGAGACAGATAAAAAAAAAAGATGCAAGCGAGATCCATCGGTGAAAGATGCACAGACGCATACACACACATCTCTTCTCAGTCGTACGTCCGATTGAAAACTCACTCGCACATACACGTACATACACACGCAGACAATCGTCCTTTTTTACAATTCAGAGACGAGCGGAGAAAGTACGCGCGCCTCTATGATATACTCTCGCGAGTTATTATGTTATTCTTGCCACGGCTATCTTCTATACATAAATATTTCCGACTCTCTATAATAATAGCGTGCCTTTCTGCAGTGTGTGTGTGTGCGCCGATCGTCGTGCTCGGCTCTTCTTCTTTCGATGCGTTGACAAGTTCGTGTTTTTGCATTGTCGTCACAATATATTATGCCATGGCGCACATACACACACAGCTCGTCGTCGGTTTCTTTTTCCTTCGGGATATCATCGATAAATATGCTCAAGCGTTCGATGCTTTTGATCTAATACCCGTCGTAATTGTACTTTCTATATTTGCGCGCGGCTACGGTTTATTTTATTGGTTGTAATGTACGGAATTATGCCGATAAATCTGATCGCCGTAGCAAAAGTAAGAAATGCGCCGTATAAAAAAGACACGTGTTTTTGTACAATTATCGATGGTGAAAATGGCAAATTTTCTCGATACTTCAAATTTTTGCGCTGCGCGATGATCTGCGCACTGGAATAACATCTTGGCAGAATATCATAAAGCACGGGGATATGCATGCGAGAATTGGCCTGGGTGCACTCGAGCGATGCACATGCAAGTTTACATAATTTATCCGCGACTAGGAGCTTCTCTCTCGTTTCTCTCTCTCTTCATGCTATATATTTCGCCTCGCGTGCCTAAATATGCTCGCATACAGATGCTTAACATACTTTCTCACGGCCTTTGATAAAGTCGCACGTACCATAATTGGGGATGCATTTACACGCATTAGAATTTTGCACGAGTGAATTCGGCTCTTAACTTGTTGTATTTACTTCTTTTTAAAAAAACGTTATTGATATCCGATTTTAATATCTTATTTTTTCTTGTTACAGTTGTCGGTGACGCTACTATGCGTTCTCCTGTTGAATCAACAAATAGCCGCGGAAGCGAGCAACAAACAGTCGACCCAAGAGATCGACGACACAAAGGACGACTTGGTCGCGGCCGAGGACAGAATAAGCGACTCGTACCTGCCACCGCCCAGTTCCAGATACAGCGGTCCGAAGCCGGTCTACGGACCGCCCGAGCTGACGGGCGTCCAGCCGCAGCAGGTGTACGACGCGCCGCCGGCGGAGCAGCCGCCGCCGCGCAGCAACGCACCCATCCCGTTCTCGTCGTACGGACCGCCGAGCAAGCCCAAGCCGCAGTACGGTCCACCGAAACCGCAGTACGGACCGCCGAGCAAGCCCAAACCGCAGTACGGGCCGCCGAAACCGCAGTACGGTCCACCGCAGAGGCCGCCCAAGCCGCAGTACGGTCCGCCTAAGCCGCAATACGGCCCACCGTCCAGGCCCCAGAGGCCTCCCAAGCCCCAGTACGGGCCGCCGAAACCGCAGTACGGTCCTCCCAAGCCGGAGTACGGACCGCCCAAGGTGAGTTCTCCCGCGCCCCAGTACGACGTTCCGGTAAAGATACCCCTTACCGTCGAGACGTATGGGCCTCCAACAAAACAGTCTATCGTTGATTTCCAGCCGAAACCACACGACACGTATGGACCGCCACCGCAACAATCCCAACCGTCTCTTCCGCAACAGCAATACGGTGCACCGAACAACGATCTGTACGGTCCACCGCCTCCGCCACCACCCGGTGTAGCGGCTCCTCCGACTCCGCCGGAAATCAAGTACGACGGATGGCAACCGATCGCTGGTCAAGCCCAAAGACCATCCGATAGCTACGGTCCTCCACCGTCCGCTCCGTCCAACGAGTACGGACCCCCCGAATCTCAACCTCATCAGGAGTACGGACCACCGCCAGCACCATCACAGCCGGCACTGCCTCAACAGCAGTACGGCCCACCGAGTGACGAGTATGGTCCACCACCTCCACCGTCCCAGCCGTCGTTCCCTCCCAGGCAAAGTTTCAGGCCACCGACCGACGAGTACGGTCCACCGCCGCCACCGTCGCAGCCGTCGTTCCCTCCTAGACAACAGTACGGGCCACCCTCGAAACCGCAGCAAACTTACGGACCACCTCCGTCGAGACCGCATCAAGAATACGGTCCACCACCACCGCCACCCCAACAGCAGCCATCGCTTCCGCAACAACAATATGGTCCACCTGCTAATGAGTACGGTCCCCCTCCACCGCAACAACAACCATCGCTACCTCAACAGCAGTACGGTCCACCAGCCAACGAGTACGGCCCACCACCACCCCAACAGCAACCGTCACTACCTCAACAGCAATATGGTCCTCCGGCTAACGAGTATGGTCCACCACCGCCACAACAGCAGCCTCAACAACAGTACGGCCCACCAGCCAACGAATATGGTCCACCGCCACCACAGCAGCAGCCGTCGCTCCCACAGAACCAATACGGCCCACCAGCCAACGAGTACGGTCCACCACCGCCTCAACAGCAGCAACCGTCGTTCCCACCATCGACCATCATCACCGATAATTTCGCCGCACCGAAACAACAGTACATCCCCACACCGATTCAAATTATTTCCGATCCCAAGGTACCGAGCGATTCCTACGGCACTCCACTGAACAATCCAGAGGATCACAATTTGAAGTCCACCGTATCTCAAAGTACCAAGACGCACGACGGCGATGGACTGCCACCACCGGATCTACCTCAATTCGAGCCGCTGCACAACAATCAGGGACCGATCGACTCCAACAACATCGGTTTCGGTGAACAACTCGGCTTGCACACCGACAACTTGGCCGTAGTCAAGAGCGGCTATCACCTGGCCCCCAACGGCGGAAGACCGGGCAACTCTTACGCTCCACCCTCGTTCAACGACTTGTCGATTCAGCAGCTGCCAGCTCCATCGGGAGGTTACAACGCACCCGCCTTCGCTCAAGGAGGTGGCAACAACTACTTCAACCGATTCAATCGCAAAGGACTGCGTCGCGGACCGTTCCCACCGGCGCCGCACAGCGTGTTCACTCCACCTCGCCGCCCACCGACTCAATTCAGAGACTCCATTCCCAAGGGTATCTACAGCAATCCGCAAAACACGTACGCGCCACCATCAGCCAATCAGCAGGTCTACCCCGTCTCGCAGTCGTCCGTGGCGTTCTTCGGATCGCAGAACTTCCTCGCCGCTCATCCGGAATTCTTGGGCAAGTCGAACAGCAATTTCGGATCTCAGTCGGGCTTCGGTAATTACAATTCTCAGGCCGGAGGTGGCAACTCCTACAACTCGCTGGACTCGCATCTGGCTGCCTCCGTTGGCTCGGTGGCCGTCCAAGGTGTCAACGATTGCGACACCAACACCCCCTCGATTTATCATCAGCAGAGTAACAACGATCACGTGGGAGACTCGCAGAGCGCCTACTCGATGCCCAACGTCAGCGAGCTGGAATTGCAGCAGCATCCCCAGCAGCAGCAGAGCAGCGGCAGCCACGACCAGCCCAAAGACAGCTACGGCAATCCGATAGTTAGCGCAGACAACTTCGGAGCACCCGATCAATCTGGTGTCCAAGCCGTGACCGCTGACAATAATAATCAGCAGCAGCAACAACAACAATCGGAATTTTCCGACGTCAACAGTCAGAACTCGCTGTCGGGCAATTACGACGGTCTGACCGCCGAACAGCTCACGGCCGCCCTGACGGCTCAAGGTTACGGCGAGGCCAAGAACATCGTCAAGTCCAGCGAGATCGATTCCGCGCAGTATCTGTCCTCGCAAGAGGGCCAGCAGGCCCTGGCTCTGACGCAGCAAGCCAACAACGACGGTTTCCAGATTCAAGGATCGCAGGGCACCTACACCCTGCAGATTCAGGCCGCGGACGGTCACTTCAACGCCGACGGCTCCAACGGCAACGGCGACATCAGGCACGAGCAGATCCTATCCAATGGTCTGCTGCAGAACATCCTGGCGGCGATCGAGCAGCAGCCCGACGGCGCCCAGATCGAGCTGCAGGGCGTGCCCCAACAGTCGGGCTACGACTTGTCGCACGCCGCCAGCTCGTCGTCCGTCGTGACGAACCAGGGAGAGTCCGCCGAGCAGCAGCAGCAGCAGCAGAAATCGTCGACGTCCGACCAAGATTCGAGCGCGTCGAGCAGCAACGTCGATCAGGTTATGGTCTTTCTCGGCCAGGCAGGAACGAGCGGCGAGAAACAAGAGGAGATCGCGTCGAGCGATAAGGACAGCACGGAAAATATGAAATCATCGTAAAGCCGGGCAACACAATAGGAGCTAGTTTGTAGATTTTTTTTTACACAAAGTGCAATCAAAAGCGGGGATAACATCGAAAGATTCTAATCGTTATATAGGGGGAAGGTATCATCGAGCTTGACTCGATTGATCGATGCCCGGTAATAATAGTCTCTCGTAGAAAATTTTCAGTGAAAGTGCCATTGAAAAAAAAAAGAAGAAGAAAAATAAACGAATGATTTGTACGGATTTTAGCCATTTATATTCAGAGTATAATATATGTGTGTGTCTGTGTAGTATCAGCAATGAAAGAGATGAAAATCATCATCTCGCCAAGAGAGAGAGAGAGATCATTCAATTAATTGGAAGAAGCAAAATATTGATGTTATTAGTCGAATGCAAGAGAGGCCGTACGTATACTGCTGGCTATATGTATATATATACCCGCGCAGTTGGAGTGCTGATTTATTAGTGCATTTTCCCTTTGACATAAAACAATCGCCTCTAAGCAAAAGAGAGGTGAAAGTTGAAAGAGGGAATCTTCTCTTCTGCTTCGGGATGCTGCTGCCTGCGCACATTTCACTCTCACGATCTTACAGTAAATATTAAGGAGCTCGAAGATTGTTGAGAGTCACGTGAATGTGGATACACACACGCGCGAGCGCACGGAGTATACTTACTTTATATATACGCGAGAGAGGAGACTCTCTTTCTCTCGGCCAGAGGCACCGACTCGACGAAAGTGACGCTGACCTCTCGTGGGTTGCTGTCCTCCTCCTTCTCCTCCTCCTTTTTCTCTCTCGTATGTATGTATGTATACTTTCCATGAGCGCCGGTCGCGAGAAATCGTGTCGCGATCTTGACACAAATATCATCGATGGACCGAAGACAAATGGTACATTATGTGTGTGCCCACGTTCATATGCTAGTGCTAAAGCGTCGCATTATCCAAACTCGCGGGGGGAAAATTTACACCATCAGATTATATGCAGTGGTATATGTACGCCGTATACAGTAGAGTCGGGGCTTCGATTTTACATACGTAGATAGCATCTTTTTTCAGGTTCCATTGTGACTATGACTTTTAATTAATTTAAGTACTTATTAAGGTCATTTGGTTAAAAAGTGCTTTTCGCCGAAGTTGTTACATTGTTTTTTTTTTGTCTTTTTTCGCGTATGAGAATTTTCGTTCAACCATACGTAGCGTATCTTTAAAAAGTCTCTTTCTCTCTAACTCCCGCCTTGAATTTATTACTATCATTATTATTATTATTATTACTTTGTTATCATTGTATCGAGTGTTGGTGTTACTGAAAAATGTATTAAAAAAAAAAAGGTTTTTTTTGTATTACTTTTTTGTGTCGTGTAAAAGTGTGATGGATGAGTGGGAGAGCGCATAACCGTCCGTACATATAAAATATATTAATAAGGTTAATTTAATAAATGTAAATGGACCTCGGGCCGGGGGTGGAAACTCGGACCCGGGGACAGAGTCAAGAATTACAATTTAAATAATAATTACGATACATGTAGTACGTACGTCGCAGATCAATAGAATTACATGACATACAAATGCAACGTGTCGATGTCTGTGTTTTTCGCATCTTTTTTTGTTGTTTTTTTTTTGTTTTTGAGATATATATTGTAACTTCGATGGAAAAAATGTTTTTACTCCGTTTGTACATCTATCAATATAAACGTGTAAACGAATGCAATTATCACCACAATTGTACAGTGACTGCACACTCTTATAAGCCATAATAATGAAAGCGTTCGACGGTATATGTATTTTGTTTTTTCATGTTTAAAGAGACCATGTATTTTTTAACTAAGAAGAAGTAGGATGTACTGAAAAAAAAATTATTACCATTTTTTATAAAAATAAATAAATAAATAAATAATATCGTTATATCCAACGAGCGATCGATGTCGCCTCTCCCTGCGACGCGAATTTCTCTCGTTGGATATAAAGTATCGACGCGTAAATGTGTTGTGTAGCTGCGTATACGCTGCTCGAGCTGTAATACACATTGTGCGCCATCATACGCATGTAAATATATCATATATGACTGTATATATACATAAAGAGAAAAAAAAAGAAAGAAACATCTCTTTGCACTTTATTCGCACTACCATTCCCCACCTGCCGCGGAAAATCCGTATCGTTGTTTTTCCTCTTTAACCGGTACTTTTCGTTCGCGCAGGGACGAAATACGCGTGTATATTATTATAATTCAAGAGCTAAACGATCGACCTGTGTCAAGAGGACGCACTACAAGAGGGAGGGGGGCAGGTGATAATGATGATTGAGTTTAATAGTTAACCTAATGAGAGACTTCGCTGCTTAACACCGCGCTCGAATCAGCGCTTATTATTGCTCGCTCTCTGTCTCTCTCTCTCTCTCTAATTGTTGTACCGGAACGGGAGGGGAAACTGCTATATCTGACATAACTTTACACGTTCATTATGATAAACGATTTGGCATTATTACATTCGAGCAATTTCTGACGTATTAATTTTACAAGGAATAAAGCGGGGGGGAAGGGTAAAAAATAAACGACATAATTTACAAAGATAATGCGCACGGCGAGAAGTAAAGGCCCCGAATTCGAGCTCTCCGATAAATGCACTTTTGGATTGCTTCCGCGTCGCTCGAGTTTAACGCCCGCATCCTATGTACACATGCCCAGAGAAGGAATCGAAAGTTAACGGGCAAAAACTCGTTTAATCTGCTCGAGGTATAATTACGTATGTCCCAAAATGCGACCGCGTGGTACACGCAAATTTTCGTGAAACACGAGAAATATTTCGAATGCCGAGAGATGCGGGTGCGCGTTAATTTTTTTTTGTTGTAAAGAACGTACACTTGCGCGACTCGATTCGTGGAATTTTTCAATCAATTTATTTATAGAAAGCAAACAGCCTTATTACACCTGTGTGTTATACAGCCGGGGGGACTACGAACTTGACGTGTGAAATTATCGTCCCTCTCTCGTCGTTCACTTTCACGTTCGTAATTTTGATTGGTTCGTATCGGGGGGTCTTATCCGCGAACGAGAGAAATTCGCGCCTTCTTCAATTCTCTTGCAGTCGTCATAAATTCATAACTGGCCGTGTGTATATATATCTTACGTGTGCTTATTATACCGATCGTTCGCCGCACGGAACAATCGTAAAAGTTAGTAATTTTCAAGGTCAACGTATAAATTTTTTTCCTGCCAGCGAATTATGTTAATTAATATATCGGATATTGTATATTATATACGTTTCGATTCATTTTAATAACGAGAGAGAGAGAGACACCGACCGATTAGACGAAAATATACTCGCGCGCGAAAGCCACACGACTATTCGCATTGCGTACAAACTGTATAGGTAGTACCGCAAAACAAGCGAGCGCAGCAAAACTCTCACTCAATCAAGCACGCGTATAAATGGGGAATTGCTTTTTCTGCTCATCGCTTTCTCTCCAAATTTGAGCGAGGAAGCGGAGGAAAAAAAAAGGATCGGTGTATACGCGTGGGGAATGCCTATATATATTAGGGTGGTCCACTTTTTCAAAAATTTTTTGTATCTCGGGGGATCCATCGGAATCAGAAAGTTTGAGGTCTAAAATGAATTTTCCCGTAAACTAGAACTCAAAAAAATGATTTCAGATGGTGTCGATGGATTTTTGAAGTTTAAAAACGCGCTCTAAAAAAGAAGCAAAATCGGGCTATCATTCGATTTATTTCAAACTCTGTTTAGAGTGTAAAAATAATCTTGACAATACAATTTCTTATGTGTTTTTGTCTGCAGAATCGAATGCCGTAGTCAGTTTTGACCTAGGAGTACAATTTCATTCAAAAAAATACACTTTTTCGATCGTTCTTTTTCGCAAAGTTCATTTTCGAGCGAGTGGCAAATGAACAGAAAAAATCTAGAAAATTTTTTGACACCACCAAAATTTAGGATTTTTTATGACGAATCCAATGGTATAAATGAGTATACACTTTGAAATTATTTTAATGCAGAAAAATACAACTTTATCCCAAAAAACGACATTACGAAAAATTGAAAAATCGAAAAGTGTATTAGTTTTTTCCAGGAAATGGCTAAGTAGAATCAATTATGGAAAAAATTGCATGAAATTGTCTGATAGGTTTTTTTCTCACCTTTCCGACGCCGGTTTCAGAAGTTAAAAATTCGCAAGATTCGCTGAGATGCAGCTATTTTTGTAAGATGCATTTTTTTAGCTTAAATTCTGCTTCGCAGGTTTTTTAATGAATAGAGCTTGCTCAGAATTATTGAATTTTAAGCCTAAAAAATGCATCTTACAAAAATAGCTGTATGTCAGTGAATCTTACGAATTTTTAACTTATGAAACCGGCGTTGGAAAGGTGAGAAAAAAACCTATCAGATACTTGCATGCAATTTTTTTCATGAGTGATTATACTCAGCCATTTTCTTGAAGAAACGAATATAATTTTTCATTTTTCCATTTTCTTAATATCGTTTGTGGGATAAAGTTGTATTTTTCTGCATTAGAATAATTTCAAAGTGTATACTAATTTATACCATTGAATTCGTCATAAAAAATCCTAAATTTTGGTGGTGTCAAAAAATTTTCTAGATTTTTTCTGTTCATTTGCCACTCGCTCGAAAATGAACTTTGCGGAATTTGCGAAAAAGAACGATCGAAAAAGTGTATTTTTTTGAATGAAATTGTGCTCCTAGGTTAAAACTGACTACGGCATTCGATTCTGCAGACAAAAACACATAAGAAATTGTATTGTCAAGATTATTTTTACACTCTAAACAGAGTTTGAAATAAATCGAATGCTAACCCGATTGTGCTTCTTTTTTAGAAGGCGTTTTTAAACTTCAAAAATCTATCGACACCATCTAAAATCATTTTTTTGAGTTCTAGTTTACGGGAAAATTCATTTTAGACCTCAAACTTTCTGATTCCGATGGATCCCCCGAGATACAAAAAATTTTTGAAAAAGTGGACCACCCTAATATATATACGCACGAAAAAGAAAAAAAACTGCGAATGGATTGTAAAAAGCCTTATTGACTGCGTAAATTTGAATTGAGAAATAAAAAAAGGAAAGAAGAAGAAGAAGAAGTAAAAAATAAGTTTCTCGACTCGGCGCAGATGTCGCACTTTATTTCCATATATCGGAGCGCTCGGGTAAACGCAATCCGCGAGCGTAAGTATACGCATATAAGAAGGAGGAGCAAAGAAAAAGTCTATATTATTCGTTGTCCCTGCGGGCAAAAGTGCAGCGCGAGAGGCACTGATACGGTACGCGTATATACGGTATATACGCGTGTATTTTTGATGTAAGGCATACACACACACTTGCACGCACAGAGAGAGAGACACGCGTTGAAAAATATGCTGAAATAACCGAAAAAGTGAGCGAGCCCTGCGAAGTACTCGCACCGAGATCGCAGCCGATACAGAAATTCTTCGAGAAAGTTTCGCTGCGCTGCACTTGTACACGGTATATATTATTCGGGAAATGATTGATTCGAGCTGTATACGTAGCTGCGCACAACGGCACTTGTGCAAAATCGAAACAGGTTTTTATTTTTTTTTTAAGGCACGCAAAATTAAGTAATCAAGTTTTTCTTGAAAGACTTGCCCTGGCCGTTGGTTATGAAGCGTGCGTGCACCTGAAACAAAAAATTACGGATAATTTTACTTATCGTTGAAAAAACACGTTAAAAATTGAACAAAAGCTCGAGACGTGCACTGTAAGCAACTCTTTGAATTTATTGTAAAATTGGTCAATAGATGTAACCGGTATTGAATTTTATTCGAGTACTTTACATGAATATTATGACTATAAGTAAAAGTGTGATTTTTCTTTACTGCATTTTTAATGCAAGAATAAATTAAAATGATTTAATTCTAAACTTACATCGAAATATTTGGGTTTAAAATTAATGCTGTAATACGAATTTAATTTTTGGTTTAACTATACAAAAAATGTATGACAATTCAATGATAATTGAAGTCAGCTTCCACCGCTAGATGGCGAGTACCATGATCTGTGAATCTGCAAGTGGTAAAGTCAAAATATTTATTTAACTCAAATGGTTTTAAAAGAAATTTATCTCAGGCGTTCAGCAGGTTCAGTAGCTCCTATTAAAAAGTTTGTTAATGGACACAACGTCGCGCATGTCCTAAAACTTATTTTCGCAATGAAAAAGCCGAGAAAAATTTCATCAATATACATTTATAGTCTAACGCAAACGTGTCGTAATTAGATTTACATTTTTCATTACAAGTTTTACAATAACGTTATTAAATTCAAATTAACCAATCCAACCAAACGCGTTGATTGAAATGATTTTCCTCAAAATTGAATTCATCCGCCCGGAGGAAAAAGCTCTTACAATTATCTCAACGTTAATATTTTTAACATTGTAATCATAGATATAGGAGTTGCAAATATGCGATCTGCCGCTCGCGTACCGGTGTGACATTCAACGAGCTCGGGCGGTACGGAAGGACGAACATCGTCGAGGTGCATGTATAGGGCCGCACAATCAGGAGCTGCGATCTCGCCAAACTTTGAACATTATTTAAATAAACGCTCGCATGCCGTATTCCGAAATCCTGTGTAGGTAAAAGTGTACGTCGCTCTTATATGTATTATATACATATACAGCGTGCATATAGCGCAGCTGTGCAAACTGCACGTATATGCTGCATTGTAAAGCCCGAAGAGCCGAGACTTTAGTTGAGAGAGAGAGAATCCAGCGTCTCGGTAGCGCCTCGGAGGGGAAATTACGTCCTCCATTCCTGTCTCGCGTACATACACGCTACGGTTACTCTGGGTCAAGTCTATGTACCTTATTTCTTTACTCTCTTTCTCCGTGCACAGAGAAGGTCGTTTACGCAGCGCGTCTATTAAACGATCGGTGTCTCTTCTTCCACGTGCTCGAGACTATCATCATCGTCATCATCGTCGTGGTCGGCGCAAGTTATATTTTATACATACACGTCGAATGCTCGAGGGTAGAAAGTAATTTTTTGTCGTCGTCGTCGTCGTTGTTGTCTCGAATTTGGATTATGCATCGGAAACTTTCGCCCAAGCTCACGGCTCTGCGAGTGTTTATATAGATCCATGTTGTACATCATATTTTAAATGGCGACGGAATTGGTTCAAGCTAGATGGTCGCGATTTTATGCTAGATCGAAGATAGCTTTGGTGCTACAGTTCGGTGGTGTCAAAATGCACAGCACCTCGATGAAGAAAGGGAGCGAGATAAAAAATTAACCATTTCAATTCGAGTATATTCCGAAAGATTCGCGGTATAACATTCGCGTACGTTACGTGCGATGTACACGAGTAAACTTACTTGGTAGAAATGCTCCAAATTTGATGGCGACTTTTTAAACAGTTAACTAAACGATTTCAAAATTGAGCGCGGTGACTTATACAATCATCCTTACTCTGTCGCTTGCAGTTTTACAAATAACAGGGCACTCGCCATCTAGTGGTGGTAGCTTGAATCGGTATTATCGTACCAAAAGTGGTTGAAAAACAAACCCGATTGATGGTAATACTTTTTATAACATTTTAAATAGTAATTTTTTGGTTATTCGACTATATTTGACGTCGAGCATTTCTTACGGTTCGTGTAATAATAATAACGGAACGCGACCGCAGATTCAATTATTCGTCGTCATTCGGTGTAAACAAGCCGTGCGACACGACTCTTGATATATATTTCAAAGTGTATACATTCATTACGAACAAAGTGTATAATATAATGCGCCTCTCTGCCTTATAAGAAAGCAGCTCGGCCTCGTCGAGATTTAAATTTCTTTGCACTGCAACACATACACAAACACATGGGGAACTCTTTGAAATATTACGCCTCATTAAACGCCATTTTCCCTTGAAAATGTCACCTCATTTCGACTTGGCTCTCTTATATATATACGAGAACGAACGAGCGACATATACGTGCAAGTGTATACATATAACCCGTGAGTGATGCGCTCGAGTCGGGCATATTACAGGGTAAACGCGATGGTTTGCAGTCAGCTGGCGGCGCTTGTTTTTCATCATCGACCGATGCATCAGCAGCAGCACACCACCACGCGATAATCAAAGCAAATTAGAATTAGCGACCTCGCGGGAGAAAGTCATCGTCGTCGTCGTCGTCGTCATCGGTCGTCAGGTGTAGTATGTGTACAAGCGATTATCGTAATATATATTTTCGCATCTCGTCTATATTATACGCACTTGTATACGTATACGTTTACAGGACGAGCTCACTTTTATCGGGCAATAAGTAAAAGTGTATAAATTCGCTTCTCCCCCGGCGCAAAATTAATCCCCAACGACGTGTATGTATACGCGTAATTGATTGATCGCTAATACACAGATGCGATATTTAGAGGTATTAAAGGGGAAAGAGAGACAGAGAGAGAAACGTGACGGCAGATCAGACACGCTCGTGTCATGTTTGAAATTCCTTCGACTATACTCGACCTCCTCCTCCGTAAAGTGAAAATTTTCCTTCTCGCGCGCGCAACCGATTTCGAGGAAGATGCAGACAGACGTACGGCTACGCGTAAAGTAGAACGAAAAATGCCTGTGCATCGTGTGTGTGCCCATACACACATACACACACACACACGCACACAGCGAGTAAAGAGCAACGATATAATTGTTAAAGAGAAAGGACACATACACATACTGCGCGTCGGTGTATGTATGTGTGGATAATTCTCACGAGTGGTAATGACGACGATAATAACAATCAACACGACGCGATGAAGCGGATTCGTTAAAAAAGTGTATGCAGCCTTATAACGCGTCAATGAGCTTTTTTCAAGTGCCCGCGTGCGAGCATAGAATAACGATCGACGCGGATATATTAAAAGCTCGAAGATTACATTCAACAGCTCTGAGCTATGTGCATAGATCATCAGTGGTAATCGCGCGTAGGTGGCACGTGTAATTTGTTATAATGCAGGTATGCATTTCGAGAAAGAAGCAGCGAGAGTGAGAGTTTATTATAATATATAACTGCGCACACTTGCGTTATTAATTCAATATAATAGTAACTTCTATGTATTATGAGCAGCTCTGCGGTGCAGTGTCGTGTATGAGAATAGACCGAGTCTTTATATATACAAGGCGGCCAACGCTACACACGTTGATTTATTTAATTAAAGGGGACTCTTTAAATGTGCGATCGTCCGCGCCGTATGTCTGTGTGTGTGCGGCACGCGTTTAGTATATAATACTGCAATGTCGAGTATTTAAATTGAATGCGATGGTCGGTTAAAGGCTTTTATACCCGTTTGTGTGTGTGAATTTGCACGTTTTTGAGCCGAGTTATACAAAGGCGCGCGAAAATCTCTCTCTCTAGCTGCAAGTCCGTGTATATGTGATTGATTTCAATGTCACGAACTGTGAACTTGAAAGCGTAATATATATTCGCAGTTATGACGTTTTAGAAAGTCCTTCTGCCAGTTGTATAGGATCGTACCTAGGCACACACGGTTAAACAGTGGGGAAAAAAGGCGCGACAGTTTTTTGCTACTCTAATGAGTTATGAAACTTTAATTACGCGCGTTAATTGAAAATTTAGATTCAGATTAGTCGGGGAACATTCGGTGGAGAAGGGGGAATATGATTTTTTTTCTTCTAGGCTCTAAGAAAATGCTTGCTGCTGTGCACTCGAGGCATTTAAAGTGGATTAAAAGTAATGACTTTCTAAGGATTTACGCGCCTACGACACTGGATGCAAAATAATTTGCGAGCGCGCGGACTAATGCGTACTGATTATCGAACGAGCTTGAACAACAACGTATGATACATAAAAACACTTTCTTCGTACGCCGAGAATATAATGGTGAGAAATTATGAAACGTCTTAATCAATCTCAATCAAACGTTGAGATGGCGAATCGCTTGTGACTTTGATATAAATGGAGAGAAAAAAGAAACGAAAACAGGCAAGCGATACGTCGGAAATGACACGCTCACGTGTAAGCTGGATGATTTCTTCATTTTATCCGACATTATAAGCTGCGCTTATATGAGGAATTCTATGAAAAAATGCTTGTTATTGAAATGTTTGTCACTTGATTGGATAATAAACGTTAATACTTGCTGATTGAAATCGAATAAAAGGTGTGAAACGCGAGAAGCGTCAAAATTTTAATAGGTTATTTGTCCACAGGTATTTTTGTATTTCGCGTTTTTCTGCCTCACATTAATACTACGGAACGAAATTATTTGAAACTTTTCTTTGGTTTTCCTTCTGGATTTGGAATGCTGGATATTTTGGATTGCTTTAGTAATTTCGAAATTGCACCAGACTTTGAAAATCCAAAATTTAAAAAAGAAGTTCTTTAAAAATTCACGCGTATTCTTGAAATGATTTCAAACGCTCTAGCACCATTATCAGCAGTATAGAAAAATTACTTTTTGGAGAATAAATAATGGGAAAAATAAGGAGACGTAATTAGTGAAATCATTGACTCGTCTACCATGATTACTTCAGTAGCTCTAATGAATAATTGAACTTTAGTCAATTCTGTCAAGTCGTATGTACACTGGGTTAACATCGATTCTATCCGATAGAACGCCAGAATTTCCTATGCTTAAACACGTTTCACCACTCTGTTGGACCAGACTGAATCGATGTTAACCCAGTGTATAAGTTGACGGAGGAAGGGGAAATGTATCGCCATTAACGAGTTATCATAGACACGTGTGGCAAGATTATTTCCTTAACAGACATGTGTTGTAATCAGTCGACAAAGTCGTAGGCGAAAAATAGAAATCCTCAGTGATAAAGTGTTTCCAAATAATATCTGTAAAGTATCATATAGTATCTGTAATATAGTTCTCTACTTAAAATCGAGGTTCATTGTTGGCTACTCGAGGCACATAACCTCAAAAATTTTCTCAGTGCATATCGTGCAAATGCACAGTAATTTTATATTTTATATAATCAAGTGAGGGATGGAAAACAACGAGGTTCTAGCCAGGTATGACTTGCCTCGTTCGTACCATGATATTTTTTTTGCTCCTTCGTTTCATAGAATTCGATTATTTTTAGAGTGAAGGAGGAACCGAATCATGCGTGGCCAGATACGGGTGACGATAGCGTATTCGATTCGGTGGACTCTTGCGAAGTCAAAAACGTTAAAATGTTCCCACTCTATGAATTACAAGTGAGTTCAATAATTTTAAAATTATTTTCTAGTTTCCACTATCAAAAATTACAATACAAGTTTACTTTTATAGGTGAATCACGTTAATGAGGTTATTGGGTCACAGGAAATGTTGGACGAAAAAATATTCGTAGAGCTAGAGTGTAAAAATGTTAAACTTGAACCGACATCTCTATCGACAACCATAAGCAAAACTGAAGATCAAAGTTGTTTACCTATTATAAAAATAGAAAACAAAACTCAAACTAATTGTCATAAAACTCATAAAGGAAAAAAGAGTCTAAAAAGACAAGTCAATATAACACATAAAAGCATTAAATGTTATGAATGTGATATTTGTCACAAATCATTTGCACGCAAAGGCCATCTAAATGTTCACATAAATGCAGTACATTATAGGATTAAACCATTTGAGTGTGGTATTTGTCATAAATCATTTAAATACAAGTGTGAAATCAAAGTTCACATAAATGCAGTACATGATCGAATAAAACGTTTCGAATGTGATATTTGTCATAAATCATTTGGATACCAGAATGTACTAAAAAATCACATTAAGGCAATACATGATAAAAGCAAACCCTTTGAGTGTGATATTTGTCACAATTCATATAGATGCAGGTATAATCTCAGAAGTCACTTGGATAGAGTTCATTATGGTATCAAATCTTTTCAGTGTAATATTTGTCACAAATCATTTGCACGCAAAGGCACTCTGAATGTTCACTTTAATACAGTACATAATCGCATTAAACCATTTGAGTGTGGTATTTGTCACAAATCATTTAAATACAAGGGTGAAATTAAAGTTCACATAAATGCAGTACATGATCGTATAAAACGTTTCGAATGTGATATTTGTCATAAATCATTTGGATACCAGAATGTACTAAAAAATCACATTAAGGCAATACACGATAAAAGTGAACGCTTTGAATGTCATAATTGTCACAAATCATACGGTCGCAAGGGTGATCTCACAGTTCACGTAAATGCAGTTCATAATCAAAGCAAACCTTTTTGAGTGTGATATTTGTCATAATTCATATAGCTGCAGGTATAATCTCAAAAGTCACTTGGATAGAGTTCATTATGGTATCACATCTTTTCAGTGTAATATTGGTCATAAATCATTTGGATACAAGAGTGACCTTAAAAAGCACACCAAGGCAATACAAAATCATAGCAAACCTTTTGAGTGTGAAACTTGTCACAAAACATTTGGATTCAAAAATCACCTTGAATATCACATAAACGTACTACATAATCGAAGCGAACTGTTTGAAGACAAAAAATTACTCTCACAAGACACATAAATGATCGAAGCAAACCCTTTGAACATAAGATTTATCAAAAGGCATATGATCGCAAGGATCAGTTCAAAGAAGACACACTGCACTAACATTACACGATAAAAAATCCAAACATCTCACATGAAATGGAGTATACCCTAAGAGCTTGAAGTTTGTCCAAGACATTTGGATCCAATGCAAACTTTCACACTATAATTTGAAAAATCTTCCACACAAATATCTTTGAATTTCTGAATAATAAAATATTTTAAACTGTTAATAGTTTTATCGTAATTAAAAAAATCTTCTTGTCACCTTACTTATATTATACAAAATATAAACAATGTTTGCCAGTTACCTAATCCATATAATCGATAAGAAAATCCTGGTTTTGGACGAAAACGAAATGTTCGCGCTTACCTCTTCAACTTATTTCCGTGCGCATGGAAGATTAAATAATGAAAAAAGCTTTGCAATTAGTAACAATTCAGCTCTCTTAAATACAAAGTATATCATGTATCTCACGATAAAAATATATTATTTTGCAATCATCGATAAACTTCGATCAACTTAGGTAAGTATTACTTTATATGCTGCATATCCATATTCGTATATGATCTATGTATAATTTCATTTTCGCGAATGCAAATTCAGCTCTGTGTTGTGCAAAGAGTAATTTGCTGTATAACATCAAATCGATTTTTCATATCGGTATGTACGAGGTAAAAAAAATACCACTTAGAATCTCGAAAGCGACAAAGTCAACGCACTCGTGTGCAGTGAGGTAAAATTTATTATCACGTGAACGAGCCCTATCCGCTTTTCACGCAAATATCACTAACTCTGAGTACCAAAAATTATAATAATTATAAAATTATAAAAAGAGGAAATTTTATTTTATAAATTTTTTTTCGTCAAATTGTTGCTTGTTGAGTAACATATTGAATTTGCACATTTGTAGATCGAAAAAAAATATCCTAAAAAATGACTATGTTCATAGTAATTGTAAATTAAATTTGTTCATAGTAAAGTTCATCGTAAAGTGAATTCAATGCTGTCTGTTAGAAGTTTGTTGGTAAGAGCTTTATTTTAGATAGCCAAAAAATTCCTCTTAGAGATCTTTGCTAAGTTAGCATTTTAAATTGTTTCAAATACCGTTAAGAAAATCTACGACTGATATCGGTAGCTTAATTGTACACAATATGATCAGAAACAATTTAAGCAGTCCTTCGACACACTAATTATGTTTATAATGAAAACAAATTAGTTTGAATGTTGTCTTTACTGATGACACAACTACAAAATCAAAAAATAAATTTTACTTATTCAATTTCTGTGGCACTAGATAGAAAGTTCCATTGTTTAATTTGGGCAACAGAATGGATATAAGTAATCAGAAATCCAAAAAAGTTGTCTTTCAAGATAATTTAAGTGGAACCAACGTTGTTGTTTCAGACGACAAAAAATACGTTTGTGATATTTGCTGGGAGACATTTACACAAAAATCAAGCATGATAACACATCAAGACACGATTCACGATGATTCTACAGATTTCGCCTGCGACAAGTGCGCAAAGAAATTTGCGAAAAAATCAAGTTTGTTGAAGCACCAAAAATTAGTACACAAAGATCACAAAAATTTCATGTGCAATAAGTGCGAGAGAAATTTTGAAAATCAATCATCTTTACTCCAGCACAAAAGAATATTCCACGAAGTTTTCAATAATTACTTATGTAACAATTGCGGGAAGAGATTCGGAAATAAAAATAGTTTGCTCCTTCACATAAAAAATGTTCACGGGGGCCGCAAAGATTTCGCTTGCGGCAAGTGCGAGAAGAAGTTTAGAAACAAATCACATTTGCTCTTCCACCTAAAAACAGTACATGAAGGAGGTAAAGATCATTCATGCGACAAGTGCGATAAAATATTCGGGCTAAAATCAAGTTTGCTAATTCACATAAAGACAGTCCACGAAAATCGCAAAGATTACGCCTGTGACAAATGCGTAAAGAAATTTGGACGAAAAAGTCATTTGCTCTTCCACCAAAAAACAGTGCACTAAGGTCGCAAAGATTATGCATGTGATAAGTGTGAGAAGAAATACGTAAGTAAATCAGATCTGTTGAAACACCAAAAAACAGTCCACGAAAATCGCAGAGATTATGCATGTGACAAGTGCGAGAAAAAATTTGGACATAAATGTACTTTGATCTCCCATCAAAGAACAATACACGAAGGTCGGAAAGATTTTGCATGTGAAGTATGTGAGCAGAAATTTGGAGTAAAATCAAAGTTTTTAACCCACATAAAGTTAGTACACGAGTTTCGCAGAGATTATGCATGTGACAAATGCGAGAAGAAATTTGGATTGAAATGGACTTTGCTTTCGCACCAAAAGACAGTACATGAAGGTCGCAAGGATTTCGTTTGTGACAAATGTGAGATGAAATTCAGAAAAAAACAAAATTTGATCAATCACCAAAAAGTAGTCCATGAAGGTCTTAAAGATTTCCCATGCGACAAGTGCGAAAAGGTATTTGGATCCAAATCACAATTGCGCATTCACCAAAGAACAATCCATGACGGTCGGAAAGATCACGCATGTGACAAATGTGATAAGAAATTTGGAGAAAAAACAAATTTGAATAAGCATCAAAAGATAGTCCATGAAGGTCGTAAAGTTTTCGCTTGTGATAATTGTGAGAAGAAATTTGGACAAAAATCAAATTTGTTTAGACACCAGAAAACAGTCCACGAAGGTCGTAAAGATTTCGCGTGCAACAATTGCAAGAAAACATTTAAGCATCGAACAAATTTGACCAGGCATCAAAATTCAGTACATGAAGGTCGAAAAGATTTTGGTTCTGCCAAATGCGAGAAAAAAAGATAATTGACAGTTGTAAATATACATATGTATAGATATTTATGCAGATGATTTCTAAAATTGTAATAAAAATTGTGCTAAAAGGATTATGTAGTACACTATACGGCGTTTGATTCTGCAACAACCTCTAAAGTTGATTCCAGCGTAAGCAGGGAGATGGGAGGAGTGAATGCGCGCGCCGAAAAAAATATTATTACAATCAAAACATTGCTCTAAAGAGCAAGAGCAAAACAGAGACACTGTTCAAGGAATCGAGCACTCAATTTCGACGGCGGATGAAATTTTCTAGGAAACTCAGTCGTTGCAGAATTTCTCGGCTGCGAGTGTGCATCCGATTGACGCAGTCTGGTCCTCTCTCGATGATCCGCCTCGTCAAGGTCGAGTATGCCGCTCGCAGCTTGTCCCAAGTGGCCTTGGGTTCGTAGGGTGCTGGAACAGAAATGAAAAAAGGGAAAATTAGTAAGAGAGAGAGAGAGAGAGAGAGAGAGAGAGAGAGAGAGAGAGAGAGAGAGAGAGAGTAGAGTAGAGTAGAGTAGTATTTATTCGGCTAAGGGCTCAGACTGGCCCTCTGTAGCCTGGCTCAAAAAATTACACCAACAGGCATATACATAAACAGCGCACAATAACAAAAAAAAAACAAAATACGTGTGAACAGTGAACTCGTGTCAAGAAAGTAAAAGAAAACATAGAGCAAAGGAAGACAGAAAAAAAAAAGAAAACTTCACAATGGTAGTCAATAAAAGTCATCCGAGCATGTGGGCGAACAGGTACGTCCTGAAGGTCTCGCCGCGGTACCGAGCCTGCAAGTCCCGAGGCAGATCATTCCAGAGCTTCGAGGTGTGTATGAAAAACGCGTTCTGCAGGCAGCTGGTGGCAGCCCAAGGGATTTTCAGCTCCAGCTGAGACCGACGGAGCGATCCAGGGGCATCACGATGGACGAAACTCAAACGTCCGGCCAAGTAGGCAGGACCTCCCCGCCTTAGTGTTGACGCCAGTAAGCACAGAGCGAGGTAGTCGCGGCGTCTCCTGTACTTGAGGAGCCCGCACGCGACATAAGACGGCGTGATGTGGTCGAATCTAGATACTCCAGTGACGAAACGCAGCGCCGCATTCATGCATCTCTCCATCCTAGTGGTAAGCTCCCTAGGAGAGAGAGAGAGAGAGAGAGAGAGCGAGAGAGAGAGAGAGGCACAAGGACAGATTCGATTTCGATTCGAATCGCTTTAAAATTTGAACACTGTAAGGCAATATTTTTTTACCCCGAGAAAGAAAGAGAGAGAGAGAGAGAGAGAGATGTATCCGCCACCATGATAGATCTTAAAAACTAGGATAAGTCTTATAGCTAAGGTAGAGAGAGAGAGAAAGAAAGCGAAAGAGAATTACTCACCGTTCATTTCCCCGTGTTGCTCGATTAAAATATCCTCCATTCGCATAAAGGCTTCCCGGCAAATGCGCACCTTCAAGTTGCGGATATCCATTTGATTATACAAAAGTGGTTCGTCGTGAACCAGTCCAACGATTTGCAGTTCAATGGGCTCCATCTTCACGATCACGACTTAGTACTTAGCAGTTCGGTTGTTCGACGTAAAATGATTCGGAGTCGCGCGGCAAACCGAAGATCGGAGCTGACCGCAGCAGCGCTACCGAGCGAAAACGAATGTGATTAGAAGAACTTCGCAAATTTGACCGATAGCAGTAACAGCAGCTGCAGCAGCAGCAGCAGCCGCAAGCCTAGCAGAAAGACGGGGGATTTCGAGCCGCCGCGGAATCGTCCGCAAAGGCAGGCAGGCGCCGTTTGACGACAGCGAGACTCGAGAGCAGTGTTTCGAATGTGAAATTAGCTAATTCAATCACCAAGCGCAATTTTTTCTTTGACTACATCTGCATAGAAGAATCACCCAAGTCTAAACGTCAGTTGAATGTTCCATTTCCAACCACGAGTAACATTGCAACTGAATCAACAACGTTAAAGCAGAAATGTAAACATTTGGAATTTGAATCAAAAGAAAGGCTTACAAAGCATGTTTGATGCTATTTCAGGTAAAAGTAATAATAATTGCTTAAAATTATAATATTACAGTATTATTTATGATATTAATAATTTTTCATTTTCGTTTAGCAACTAGCAAAATCAATCCGGATCTTGTTATTCAAGCAGATGAACTTGATACGCCTTCAGAAACAACTGCTTTCACAAGTTTAACCTGTACAACATCAACTACGACTGTTAACACATCACCGATAAGGGCTGATATTGTTCCTATCTTTAAAAGTGATGTGGAAGTAAAATCACCTATCAGAAAAACCGTAACGTTCAACTTACCAACTTCAAGTGCCACAAGTGATTCACAAGCAAGTAGCACAACAACCACAACAAATACCAATACAGATTCAAAACCAACACTTGCTCAAGTACGTAAGACAAAAGGATGACATTATCATTGCTGGCTGTGGTAATTCTACTCTTGGAATGAATTCATACGATGCCAATTACAGGTTTGAATTGATACTTTGGTTTCTTACTTATACGATATAATCATGAAAAAATTTTCAAGTCGATAATATTTATGCAGGATTATTGTTAACATTGACATATCGCCAGTGGACATTAAACAAATGAAGGAGTTAAATAAAGTTAAAAGGCCAGATTTGGTCTTCCAACAAATGGATGCGACAAAACTTGAATATAACAATGAAAAATTCAGTGTTGTGATAGATAAAGGCACTTTCGATGCACTTATGACTGACAGTAAAGAAGAAACTGTTGCACTACTTACAAAATACTTTGAGGTACTTATCTTTTTTTTTATATGTCCCTGTTACATTGGCAATATTTATTTATTCTGATTTATCTTTCTTTACAGGAAATTAAAAGAGTGTTGAAAAGCAATGGTAGATACATATGTATTTCACTGTTGCAAGAACATATCCTTAAAACTGTAATTACCAATCTATCACAAAGTTGTGCAATTCGCATTATAAGATGTCACGATGTTGAATCTAAAGCTTTGGATCAGAAGGAAAGTTCCATGCCTGTATTTATGGTCGTTGCTACAAAATTTAGCAAATTACATGCACCTGTAAGATTGAATGATGAATACAATTTTGAATATTTAAATGAAAAGTAAAAGTATACATTTCAATTAAATCTGAATTTTTAGGTTTTAGTGACAATAATGTCAGGTTTTTATTGGCCACGGATGTATATATGAAAATATTTATATGAAAATTGATCTCTGCCATAAATGCTGGTGGAGATGCACATATTGACATTCATGGCATACGCTATGCAAGAGATCCACTGATGGGAAAAGTGGGCACTGCTTCTGACTATGGCAAACAATTGATCATAGGTCGAGTTGATCCTGCTGCAATCAAATACTTTATCGAACTGAGAGATATCATCATAGCACATTTGGCTATGACATACCTGTAAGTGAAGATGGAGACTATGTATTGATTCTTAAGTTTTCAGAAGTTTATTTTAACTCGACGAACATGAAGGTAATTAGATCATTAAAACTTTCATTCTGATTGCATCTGATTTATTTACTTTTTATTTTATAGGTATTTGATATTGTTCTTAATGGAGATCATTTTTGTAACTGAACTAGATATATTTGAAAGAGTTGGTCGAGGTATTGCACATGATGTATATGTACCAATTAAATGGTGCAAAATGGAAAACTGATTTATAATGAAGAAGAATCAGATATTCTAGGTGGTAAAATAAGAGTTGAATTTATCAAGGTATTTTGAGAAAACAACAATTTTAATCTATTCATTTATCAAAAAGTTAAAAATCAAAATTTTATAGAGCTATCAAGATAATCCTAAAATCAATGCTATTGCTGTGATCAAAGAAACTCTTGATGGTAAATTTTTAGCATTCAATGAATGAATATTTTTGATCAAACAAATTAATAATTAGCCATTTAATTATATGTCAAAATATTTCTAGATGATCCACTTCTGGTGCCAATGCCTCAAGAGCCCGATGAAGACCAAGGAACTCAAGAAGAAGAAGAGGAACCAGTAACAAGACACACAAGTGGACCTCGCACACCAGATCCATATGAATCTGTAGATTCATCATTTCTATTGCAATCATTACCTATATGTGATGCAATTGGAGCTTTTATACCTTTATTATTTTGCTTATGCAAGTTATAAAATGTTTCAAGTGAAACATTTTTGTTGAGTTGTACTTAAGTACAAGAACTTGCACAAACTCAAAGTAATCTGTTTCACTTTATTTAAGTTGAGTTGGCAGATGTATTATTCTTGAATTTGTCTGATTTTGATAGTCTATGTAGTAACAAGTTATATATATTTTACTAAATTTACGCTATGTATGTGTATTCCCATGTAATATATGTAACAGTTGTTTCATGTGCAATTTCTGTTTAATTATAAGCTTATATAAAGACTTACTGGCCTTTCTCTGTAAATTTTTATGTAACTAAATAATCTAAAGACTAGATATTAAGAAGATATTAAGCTTCAGCTCTTTTTCTTATCCTCCATTGACTGTGAACTATAAATTAATGATATATCATTGAAAAAAAAATTAGATGAGATACATAATACCATTTCTTAGCTGTTCTCGTTCTGTTGTTTACATCGTGTAGTGAGTATAGCATGAGCATGACCTCTCCTGTATGTAGTTTTGCCGCACATGCCACGATAGCGCTACGCAACGTAGAGGACTATGATGAGCTGGTCGAGCATAAGCTGGTGTTTTTCGCAAAGACACAGTTTTTCAAAATACAGCGAATTCATCGCAGCAGTCTTAGCCAGTCTTTCCATGTTTCACTTGATACGTATTACGTTTTATTATTGCAGACAGGTTAATTGACAGTGAGAACGATGGAATCCAGTGATACAAGAGATTGTGCCATCAGGTATTTTTTATTTTATGAGGATAAAATAGTAAAAATATTTTGACAAAATACTTCATCTGATTGAGGTTATTTCAGGGTGAAAGAGGAGCCTCGTGACGAGTCACCTATTTATAATGATTCCGAGACAGTTGAGGAAAAACCCGATCTGAAAAACTTCCAACTCTTATCATTTCCTCGAAAAAATTCAGTAAGTTTTGATAAATTCGCAACACATATTTTTAGTTTTTTCAATCAAAATTCTTACGTAACTTTAATGTTTCTACAGATTGATACCCTTCGAAATTGTGACATTAAACTTGAAAGTGAACTTGATAAAGATATGGAAATAGTTTTTGAATGTGAAGATGTGAAGCCCAAAATCAATTCTCCAGTAGTCAAGAAAATTGATGATGATTCACAAAATTGCGATCTGAAACAAGATATTGTCGGTGACGTGGCAGAAGGAATGAAACTGAATTTTGATTGCGAACTTAGTGAAAAAAATAAAAAAAGAAGAATTGCAAAAACGGTGAACAAAGAACATAAAAACAAATCAAATATCAATGCAAATCATAATGATACAATACATGCATGTGAAACACGGGGAAAGAAATTTTCACATGAGACCAGACTGAGTAGGCATGTCAAATCATTACATCATTGTTTTACTTACTTTTGTGATATATGCAGTAAGGCATTCACACAAAAATATAATCTCAAAACCCACATTGACTCGTTGCACAATGGTGTCACATACACGTGTCATATATGTGGAAAAACGTTTACTCGGAAAGGTAGTCTTAAACTCCACATCGATTCGGTACACAAGGGTTTTACTCACCCATGTAATATTTGCGGAAAGTCATTTAGGCACAAAATTAGTCTTAAAATCCACATCGACTCGTTGCACAATACTGTCACACATACGTGTCGTACATGTGAAAAAACGTTTACTCGGAAAGATAGTCTCAAACTCCACATCGATTCGGTACATAAGGGTTTTACTCACCCATGTAATATTTGCGGAAAGTCATTTACGCTCAAAATTAATCTTAGAACCCACATCAACTCGTTGCATAATACTGTTACACATACGTGTCATACATGTGGAAAAACATTTACTCGGAAAAGTAGTCTCAAAAGACACATCGGTTCAGTATGTAATCACCCACACCTGTGATACATGTGGTAAAACATTTATACAAAAAAGTAATCTCAAAAGTTGCACATAAATTCGAAGCGTAGTATTATTACACATAATACTATTTAAGCGATAAAAATTTTCACAGAAGAATTATTCTAAAATTTACATCGATAGAATTCACAATTGTCATTAAGCGTGAATGTAATATTTGCGTAAAATCATTTTAATAAAAATGTTATCTTAAAAGCCATGTCGATGTGGTACAAATTCATATCAAATTAATATCTACATCTAAAATTAAATGTATTTCATTTATACGATTTTTTTTATTTCCTTCAATGTTATCTTATTATGTAAAAACTATCTTTAAGATTTGAAAAAATCAATAAATTTTTTAAAGAAAATAAAGCATACTCTTTGAGTCCTTTTTTTTTTAAAAACAAAATTTTTCATCCCCTAGAACGCAAAAGTTGCTATAGACAAATAACTTTGAAAAATTTCTCTTAACCAAACTTGAACCAAGCGTACTTTAAATGCCCATTACACGCATAAAATAAGAAGAAAAAATTTTCGATCGCGATTTTAGCCTCGAATGTCGAGAAATTTTCACAGAATCGCTCATATGCACAATTATCTCAATCGCCTGCTGAAATCAATCAGTGAAAATTAGCTACGTATATTTTAATCCTGACGTACACGCTTTAAAAGCCTTTGGCACGCGGCTTTACTACGTACTCGTTTCTCTCATCCTATTGCTCGAGTTATGCAGCTTTTTTTTCTTTTTTTTTTTTTTATCTTTTTTTTTACCTCCTCTCGACTCGAAAAGTCTGATCTACGATTCCATACGCGGGGTGGTAGGTTAATCGCGAATCCCCCATGGTAATCTGGCATTTCGTATACGTACATCCGCGATCCGCGCGCACACATACACATTATATACTTTCGTTTTGGAGTTACGCAAAAAAAAACAACAGAAGAATAAGAAGAAGAAGAGATGGAGAATAAAATAAAAGAAGAGGAGCCCTCCACCCGCTGGCAGTAGCAGCAGCTGCGGGAAGCACAAGCCGGCGAAAGAATATGCGCGAAAACGCGAGCGACACGAGAATAAAAGTAGCTCTTCTCGCCGCGCAGGCATGACACATACACACACACGCGCGCGTAACATTCCGTGCACGCGTGGAAAATCGGTAAAATATGCATACCGCGAGGCAGTTGAAACGTCGCCGAGGAGTAAGCCCTCGCGGGACGCGCGCGCGCATTGGTATATCGTATATATAAGTACGTCGTGTGTGTAGAGAGAAAAAAATCTCGTGTATGTATACGCGCACACACATATACACAAGTAACATCGCAGAATAAGCAAAAGCTCGGGCCGCCAAAGAAAGAATAAAGCACGAGTATGGGTATTTATTATATGCGCTATATATGACGTACACAGAAAATACGTTTCTTCGTTTGGCGACGCGCACTTGCCATGCATGGGCTCTCGAGAGCGGCAGCGTACAGCACATATAGGTATGTATAGCAAAACATTATTATGTATTTCGAAGGATATTTCCCTTTCTATTTTATGGACTAGTACAATATGTAATATACATGTAGACGATTTTTTTTCTTTCTCTCCAGCCGCTCGCTCGCTCACTCGCTCGTCGCTTGTAACTGCAAGCTGCTACGTACGTATGTCTCATATATATGCCTTGTTGTACATTCGTGCTTAGGATGGACATTTTTATCCTTTTTTCTTCCTCGAGTGCTATACATATTTTGTTTATACGACGGTACGAGTGACTTTGTACGCTCGACGACGAGACTTTCGGACTTTTGGATGGATTTTCCCTTTCTTGATTTCTTTACTTCATTCTCGAGTGCAGCACGGAGCAGCACACTCGGCTGAATATAGAAAACTTACTCGATGAAGAACAACAAATTTTGTCTCCTCGACCATTCGACAAGTCGATGCGCGTTCGCCGAAATCAAAACGTAAAGTGCACCAAATTGAAGGTACTCCCCACAAGTCTCGGTAGGTATACTTTTATCGTCGGGCATTTCAGAAAATCAAGCTTTAAATCGCCCGCCTTGGTAGGCGCGCATACAACTCAATCTATCCTTGTAGAATACCGTCTATCTACACTTAAAAATCCACCACCACCGGTAGCAGTGGGGAAATTCACTTTAGCCGTCGTCGTCGGCGAAGAACATAAAAACAGTGCCAGTTACTTAAGGCCTCGAGTAGTTATACAGGGCAAAGGAAGACTTTTGCCTCCTTCTACCACTGTCGCTGCTGCTGCTGCTGCGCGCCCCTATCTCATAATTAAGCCCAATGCTGTCATTTGATGGCCACTAAAAATGTCGCCAGGGCGCCGCTCGCCGCCCTCTATATTATTCGAGGCAATACTCCAACGACCGAGTCGTAAAGTACCGACAGACTCGCGAGAGAACCCTTTATGCCTTCTATATATACATACACACACACACATACACACATTCCTCCATATATCTCACTCTCTCTCACTTCCTCGTTTTCCGTATACTATACTTCCACTGCAATGTGGGTTATTCGGCGGGAGCGAGAGAGAGAGAGGATATTAACAAGACGAAAAAATTCCGCGCAGCTACGGTAGGAGGAAGAGATTCGCCCTGCGAATTATGACGTTGAACGAATCCGAAATGAAGGGCCGCGCGCGCTTGCGTATATATACTAGCGATGTTATATTAACTTACGGCGCAACCAGCAGCAGCAGTAGCAGCAGCAGCAGCGACAGCGTAGTATATAAATATACCCGAGCGCGCCCCGCGAGCAGCAGCCCTTCGGCGAGCGTATATTTTTATAATGCAGGCGACGATGCCGCGTTCGCGCGCGTGTACATCGGTGTATTATATACAGTACATCTTGTAAAATATTTTTTAATATCCTCGTACTTTTTTATTCGCCGCTCGCGCGCGACGATATAAACTAATACACGAGCTACGCGCTGGTACACATTCCAGCGTATAGCGAAGCTCTTTTGCTATGTGTATAACGACGTTAAACGAAGGCAGCCGTAAGTATGCTCATGAATATGAAGTTTGAGAAAGAAAAACACCGCAGCAGCAGTGGTTGTATAATAATTGTAAAAAAAAAAGAACTAGCGCGTTCCTTACTAATTTAAAGAGCAAGAATATATAGAATATCTCCGTCGTATATTTCATGTACGATTTAACGATAGCAATCAAACTTTTTCACAATGTCTTTAGCCAACTATACGCTTGGTCTATACGATACAAGTGAGAGAGTAGGTGTATTTAGCGTTATTACAGGCGCCGAGCGAGCTCGATCGCGCGCGCGCAGAGGAATAAATAATTTTCGCCGCGCGCAGGCGTTGCGGCGCAGGTGTTACGAGCCTCCGCGATTTAATAAGTTCATTACCTAATAATGAACAGATGTACCGAGCCCGAGCTTGCTGCACCACTGCGAGCCTGTGTGTAACGGTATATACGAGCGCGCATATGTAGCGAGAGCAGCGAGGTCCTGTGGATATATACGAGTAAGAGAGAGACTCGATAATCGATACTTTTAATTATACACCTGCATCTTTATGCGATTTTGAGGGTCGCGCGTGGATGGGGTATAGCTGGGACACACACAACGTTTATAGTTCGCTGCCACGCGTTAAAGTTTGATTAAACTTATAACTCGTGCTCGCGCGAGCTAGCTAGCTAGCTAATATTCGTTTGTTTTCGGAGCTTGTAAATTTTCGATTCGGGTGCAAATAGAACTATCTTTACTGTTTCCAAACAACATGTGGTACATAGCTCGTAAATTTAGCTTATGATGAATTGGTTTTCACTTGTGGGTATGACAATGACATCTAGCGATAGAACTTGTGCTATACTTACATCGCAATCGCAACAAGCGAAGTTCAATTGTTCAATCGATATTTGTATGTACTTAATTATTTTTCAGTCAAGAATCTAGATCGTCAAAAAGGATATGTTGCGTTGGTGTATGTTTGATTTGAATAAATCAATGACAATTAGTCCAGGTAAACGTTTAAACGATAGATTTTTTCTGTCATTTCAACTCAAATATGACTTGTGACACGGCGTACTTTTCCTCGGCTCCCCGGCCGTGTACACCAGATAGGTCGCAGGCTCGAGATGGGGAGATGGGTTCGCGAATGGATACAAACAAAGAACAAGGCAATGATTGATGAAACGCAGGTTTTAATTATGAAATAGATTTATTTATTATAGTTCACGGCGCAATTTTCTTTCACACTCACCCACACTCACTCTTTACACGTCGCTATCACTTACAATTACTTTATTCTCCCAGATCTTTCTCTCCGTACCTCGCCTTTCACAATAGTACTCACACTCGCCTTCTAACTCACACACTTTATATATATATTTCACACTCTACACTCACACTCGACTCTCCTCTACAACACGTTATTTTCTTTCTCTATACTCGCTCTTTTCACACTCTTCTCTCTCTTCAAAATTGATTGGAGATCACGCTCTCGTGAAGGGCAATCAATCACTGCCGCTCTCGCCGTTCCTTCCCGGCTCCCGCGCGCCTCTCCACGCGAGCAGTTTCGATATGTCGGCGCGGCGCGACGGTCAGTTGCGCGCGACATTCAAAGTCGTCGATATCGGCGGCGGCGATGTATGATCTAAAATAAAAAGAAAAAAATGTGATTACTCGTTCCATACTCAACTTGATGGTCTCGCCCAGTGATGATAGGCCTACACCACTTGTTCACCATGTCACAGACTCAATACTATTGAAAATATATGTGTCTTTGAATTAGGAAAACAATTTTCAAGGAAACTAAAAAGAATTCATCTGTAAACGATCAAAATGAACTTAAATACATCACCAATTCAACGTTCTTTACAACGTGCTTATACTTATACAATTGTGAGCACTTTGATACATTCAGATTTACACACAAAGGTACTCGCCATCTATTGGTCGAGACTTGAAGTATTTTTATCGCACTCAAAGCCGCTAAAATTGTAATTATAAAAAATAATATAGCCAAAAGCTAGTT